TGTGCCAAGGCACCAGGCACATACTTTGGTCCTGGCAGGTATTATGTATGCAGAGAGCTTCTGCGTTGTCAGGAAACATCCTTTTTATTTAAAAGGATTCCATCGTATATGATTCCACTAATCTACTTTGACACAATATCAGAGCATTGCACCCCATCATCCCTGTTAGATCTCCTAGATCATGTAATGTAACAGGGTGGAGTGGGGTGGAAAGACAGATCTTGGGTGGATCTTGAATAATAAGTAGATGATGAAGAATCCTCCCCTCTCCTCCTCCAACACCCTTCCAAGTCAATCAAGAAGAATGTCATCTATTTCTGTCTTGCTAATCGCCAGCCCTGCCTTGCTAGGGCAGTGTTTGGTACACAGTCGTCTTTAGCATCCTAAGCTGATTAATATTCCTTGAAGGAGAGATGGGAAACTTCAGGGAAGAACTATTAGCGGAGAGATGGAACCTCAAAGCACCACTGGTTCCTTAGGCAAATAAAAACAGCATTTTAGTGTGTGTGTGTGTGTGTGTGTGTATTATTAAATTTTCTGTTTTACAATTTAAAACACTCATTTAAACATCCTTAAAATATCAGTGACTATTTTACATAAACTAAACCATTCAGTATTCCATTACAGTGGTACCTCAGGTTAAGTACTTAATTCGTTCTGGAGGTCCATACTTAACCTGAAACTGTTCTTAACCTGAAGCACCACTTTAGCTAATGGGGCCTCCTGCCGCCGCTGCAGCTGCTGCTGCTGCGCTGGAGCACGATTTCTGTTCTCATCCTGAAGCAAAGTTCTTAACCCGAGGTACTATTTCTGGGTTAGTGGAGTCTGTAACCTGAAGCATCTGTAACCTGAAGCGTATGTAACCTGAGGTACCACTGTATTACATCCACCAAAACTTATTTACACTGTTGAATTGGTCTTCAAGTGTACACAATTTCCCCCCATATATTCAATAAACATTTTCCAATCTTCTCTAAATGTATGTTCTTCTTGTTCTCATTTCCTATATGTTAAGTCCGCAAGCTGAGCATATATTCCATCAGCTTCAGTTGCCATCCTTCTTTGGTTGGGACCTCGCTCGTTTACATAAATAACATTTTAACATACTAACAGAATTTCATTGTCAAGCAATAAGAATTAGCAGCTGGGCACTCAAGTGTTTAATTTGTTAAGAACTGCTTTTCTTGCTTCATCTGTGGAATGGAAATTTGAGCAATTGTAAAAGCAGTTTGCAAATTAAGAGCGATAGGTAAGAAGCGGCACATGCATACGATGAAGGACATACTTGCTGGCGGTAGGTACTGAAATATGGGGGTGCAAGAAATGCAGTGGGGTTTGAGGAAAAAGACCCAGCAGCCAGCTACAGAAAAGTGAGAGGAAGGAGGCTGCGGAAGGATGGGAAGTAGGCGCACTACATTGGCTTGCCAGCAGGGGGCGCAACAGAACTAACCAGAAATGTTCTTACCCATCCTGCCAAAAGTGACAGCTGTTCAGATCTAACGCACATGTAATGAAGTGTTTCGTTGTGCTGGCTTTTATGGGCTGGGTTCTACCAACCAATTTGCCGGAATACTAGAGAGCATGATACATTGCATTTCCATCTCGTATTTTCTCCAAATAGCTTGTGGTTTTCCAGATCTTTTTGCATCAGGAAATGCCTTTTGCCAGATCATGCCCTTGGTTCCTCTAGTTCCTTGTTGCCTGCACTGGCCACCTGGCAGCATTCCCCAGGGTGTCTTAATTTTTTTAAAAAAATATTTATACTTTTCAAGTTTATACATTTCATTAGTTTTACAATCAATTTAACTTTTCAAAGTTTGACTTTCTTCCCCCTCTTTCTGCGGTTCCTTAAATTTATTTTTTAATATCTTCCGCACATCCAAATTCATTTAATTTGCTCATTTAATTATCTACTTTAAATATGTACTCTTATTACAATAATCCTGCCAATGTTTTTATCTGTTTGCAATTTATCTGCAAATATTCAATAAACCATTTCCATTCTTTTATAAAATGTTTGTTATCTTGATTTCTTATTCTTCCAGTCAGTTTTGTCATATCTGCATATTCCATAAGTTTTTGTATCCATTCTTCCTTTGCTGGGACTTAGGTAGCTCTGTCCCTATAATTCCCAAAGAAAAGGTTCTGGTTTGTTTTTTACAAAAGTTATTTTGAACATCCTTTTAAATTCATTGTATATCATTTCCCAGTGACCTTTAACCTTACTACAAGACCACCAAATATGATAAAAGGAACCTTCTTTCTCTTTACATTTCCAACACTTATTTGATTTAGATTTATACATTTTTGCCAGTTTACTAGGTGTTAGATACCAACGATATATCATTTAAATATAATTTTCTCTTAAACCATAAGGTAAAGATAAAGGGACCCCTGACCATTGGGTCCAGTCGTGGCCGACTCTGGGGTTGCGGTGCTCATCTCGCTTTATTGGCTGAGGTAGCCGGCGTACAGCTTCCGGGTCATGTGGCCAGCATGACTAAGCCACTTCTGGCGAACCAGAGCAGCGCACGGAAACATCGTTTACCTTCCCGCCGGAAGGTCTGCTTGCACTTTGACATGCTTTCGAACTGTTAGGTTGGCAGGAGCAGGGACTGAGCAACGGGAGCTCACCCCGTCACGGGGATTCGAACCGCCGACCTTCCGATCGGCAAGTCCTAGGCTCTGTGGTTTAAACCACAGCGCCACCCGCGTCTTAAACCATAACATGCTGTAAATTTTATATCCATATTCCCATGCTTCCATGTCTATACTGTGACCGATATCTAATGTATACATTAGCGGCTTAAAACAGAGTGAGGTCATCTCCCTCATTTTTGTGCTTCAAATCATTGTGCATTGCTGTGCACACCGGGGTGTGTGTGTGTGTGTGTGTGTGTGTAAGGATGTCTTCGTTTGCTGCGTATTACCCAAATTGTTTCCCCACACCTTCAACCCTCCCAACTCTTATTCAAGGAAGCTGTCAACCGCACAAGGGCAGAGGCTGTCTGAAGCGTAAATAGCTCAGCTTAACCACAGCTTGCGTTTTCAAGTTGGATGGAAGCTAGTTTAAGCGAAAGCACATTGAACAGGAGCATCATTTCTTGCATCATGGAATTACAGTGTTGGAAGGGACCCAAAGTTACATCTAGTCCAAGCCCCGTAATGCAGGAATCCTTGGCAGATGGTCGTCCAGTGACAGGCAGAGGCGTTTCTTGAGAAACTACTACAGGATACCCTACCTGCCCGCAGACTGTCTCAACAGAGTGGTGCATGTTCTGGTTATCTCGCGCTTGGACTACTGCAATGCACTCTACATACACGCTACCTTTGAAGGTGACCTGGAAACTGCAATTAATCCAGAATGCGGTAGCAAGACAGGTGACTGGGAGCGGCCGCCAAGAACACATAACACTGGTCCTGAAAGACTTCCATTGGCTCCTAGTACGTTTCTGAGCGCAATTCAAAGTGTTGATGCCCAGAAAGCGGTGGGGGGGATGAGTATTCAGGCCCCTGGGCTCTCACTTGTGGGGTGCCTCAGGGTTCCGTCCTCTCCCCCATGCTTTTTAACATCTATATGAAGCCGCTGGGAGAGATCATCAAGGGGTTTGGACTGGGTGTCCATCAATATGCAGATGATACCCAGCTCTACCTCTCTTTCAAATCAGAACCAGTGAAGGCGGTGAAGGTCCTGTGCGAGTGCCTGGAGGCAGCTGGAGGATGGATGGCGGCTAATGGATTGAGGTTGAATCCTGACAAGTACTGTTCTTGGGGGACAGGAGGTGGGCTGGTGTGGAGGACTCCCTGGTCCTGAATGGGGTAACTGTGACCCTGAAGGACCAGGTGTGCAGCCTGGGAGTCATTTTGGACTCACAGCTGTCCATGGAGGCGCAGGTCAATTCTGTGTCCAGGGCAGCTGTCTACCAGCTCCATCTGATACGCAGGCTGAGACCCTACCTGCCCACAGACTGTCTTGCCAGAGTGCTGCATGCTCTAGTTATCTCCTGCTTGGACTACTGCAACGCGCTCTACGTGGGGCTACCTTTGAAGGTGACCCGGAAGCTGCAATTAATCCAGAATGCAGCAGCTAGACTGGTGACCGGGAGCGGCCACCAAGACCACATAACACCGGTCCTGAAAGACCTACACTGGCTCCCAGCACATTTCTGAGCGCAATTCAAAGTGTTGCTGCTGACCTTTAAAGCCCTAAACGGCCTCGATTCAGTATATCTGAAGGAGTGTCTCCAGCCTGAGGTCCAGCTCCGAGGGCCTTCTGGCGGTTCCCTCACTGTGAGAAGCTAAGCTACAGGGAACCAGGCAGAGGGCCTTCTTGGTGGTGGCGCCCGCCTTGTGGAACGCCCTCCCATCAGATGTCAAGGAAAGAAACAACTATCTGACTTTTAGAAGACATGTGAAGGCAGCCCTGTTTAGGGAAGTTTTTAATGTTTGGAGTTTTATCACTTTTAAAAAAAATTATTATTATTATTATTCTGTTGGGAGCTGCCCAAAGTGGCTGGAAAAGCCCAGCCAGTTGGGGTGGGGTATTAATAATAATAATAATAATAATAATAATAATAATAATAATAATAATAATAGTTTTTGTTTATTATTATTATTATTATTATTATTATTATTATTATTATTATTATTGATTGTGGCTAACGGTCATATGTACTTGGCTTCAAACACCAGTGGTGGGGGCACATTGGGGCTGGAGTAAGCAGTAAGCAGTAATGGATACATAGACTAATTGTCAGGCTGTGTATGAGAGAGAGAGAGAGAGGGTGAAAAACAGGCAGGTAACTAAACAAGGCAGCCCAGGAATGCTGGTAAATAATTCAGCCAGACAGCTGATAACGTCTCTGACCCAGGAAGGCGGAGGGGAGGAAGGTTTTCAAGGGCGCCAGGACCCGGAATCACTTTTGCCGGCTGTGGAGAAACTCTCTTCCCTTTGCCCAAGTCTGCCTGCCTCTCAGCTTTCCCTGAACTCAAACCGGCCTGACCAGCTTTCTTCTCCATCTCTGCCTCTGGACACACACGCACACCAGGGATCGAAGCCAAACTGGGCCCTGCCGGGTTGGAGATGTGGAGAGATGCCTCCTCTTTGACTTTGCTGTTCGGGCAATGCAGAGGCATCTCTTTGTGCTTCTGATCTGAGTGGGGCAGAGGGGGGCTGGGAGCGCACCCTCCCCACCCAGGGCACACGCTTCACCCCCCAGGCACAGGCGGAGGTCTCACCTGGAGGAGAGGCAGCTCACATTTGGGGCACTGGCTGCTGCAAAGGTAAGTGAAAAGAGCAGAAGGGTAAAAGCAGAGTAGCTGCAGTCGGGAGGTAGGATTGTGGACTTGGAAGGGATGCCAGGGGGTCATCTATTCCAACCCCCCCCCCCCCGCAATGAAGGAAAGGGCCTACAGTGCCAGTGTTGGCCTGCAGGCTTTGAGAGGGTGGCATAGTGCTGGGCAAGGAGGAATGCTTTGACTGAAAGCAAAGCAAAACTCATAAAAGCACAATACCGAGATTATTATTTTTTTCCTCTTGGATTGGAACAGGGCCAAGGTAGCTCCCTTTTGCCATTTAAGAAATCTGGAAATTGGCCAAAGTGGTTTCTCAGACTGGCACCAATTTGGCTGCTTTTTAAATAGTTCTGCAGAAGAGGGGATTTTGGCAGGTGGTGCTTGCTTATTAGGTAAGGAGCAGAAAAGCTGCATCTGCGGAGACTTCCAAACTCTCACTTTCCATCACCAGGGTTTCCCAAACATCGATCTCCAGCTGGTTTTGGACTACAATTCCTATCATCCCTGACCACTGGTCCTGCTATCTAGGGAAGAAGGGAGTTGTAGTGTAAAAAAAGAGAAGTCTGGGAAACCCTAATCTAGAGGAACACGGTGTCCCCCTCCCCATACAGAATATTGTTTTGCGGGGGCAAAGGAAATAACAAACTCAGGTATGCAATGTGGGGCAAAGGGACGGCCCTATAAGTTGCATCAAGTTGTTTGCATGTGCAGGTAACTGTGGCCCAGAGCACTTGTGCCCATTTAAACCTCAGGGGCACCAAACCTTTCACCTGTACTTCTATGGGTAAAGGTAAAGGGACCCCTGACCATTAGGTCCAGTCATGGCCGACTCTGGGGTTGCGGCGCTCATCTCGCTTTATTGGCCAAGGGAGCTGGCGTACAGCTTCCGGGTCATGTGGCCAGCAGGACTAAGCTGCTTCTGGCGAACCAGAGCAGCGCACGGAAACGCCGTTTACCTTCCCGCTGGAGTGGTACCTATTTATCTACTTGCACTTTGACGTGCTTTCGAACTGCTAGTTTGGCAGGAGCAGGACCGAGCAACAGGAGCTCACCCCGTCACGGGGATTTGAACCGCTGACCTTCTGATCAGCAAGTCCTAGGCTCTGTGGTTTAACCCACAGCATCACCCGCATCCCATCACTTCTATGGGTACTTTACATAATGACAGTAGGTTCCCACGAGAAGCTGCTGTGCTTGAGGGGAAATCTGAAGGAAAGCACAACAGCCTATAGGACACTGTCCCAATGTGACTGATTAAAAAAGGTCTTTGTACCTAGATTTGCAGGAATTTGCAGGGAGCATACATAGGATGACTTGCAGGGAATGAATTTCCCATTTTATTCCTTTAACCATCATGTTTGAGGCACAACTGTGCATGTTAAATAAAAACGTAGCAAAAACGCCGGGGTGACTTTCCTAACCTCAGGATTTGATTGTGGAGGAAAAGCGGAATCTGAAATGCTGATATTCGCACCATGATGTGTGTGTGCTTAATCCAGATTAACACAGAATATAAAAGTCTGTGACCTTATGATATATTGCGTTTTTATGATGCATGTTTGGGAGCAGCTATAGCCTCAGGCTGGCCTTGGATTTACTTGGCTGCGCTTGGGAGAGGCAATTAGTGAGATTTTTGTTTCCAGCCTAATACAAGTGTTCCTTAGCCGTGTTAATTTCTTCCTAGCGCTTTATCTGCGCTCTCTGAATTTTTCCAGATAGTAACGCTTCCTTTACATCATGTGATGCGAGAGCAGCAGTGGGTGAGAGAGCTGGCGGGCAGGGAGGGAAATCTCAGTTCTTGTTGCTGCTAGTCCAGATGAGCTGGTAGGTTCAGCCCAGGAGGCAAGATGTTGCAGCAAAACAACAGTTGCGTGTCGAGACCCCGCAGCCACCCCCTCCTTGGGAAACTACTCACATCAGGACACAGATATTAAGTTTATGTTATTGGGCAAATTTGTCCACAACTTTATTGAATTACAGAATGTGAGCGGTATTGGCTTAGGCATTGTTTGGACCTGACTATATCTGGCTCCTAGGAACGCAGGTGGCGCTGTGGGTTAAACCACAGAGCCTAGGACTTGCCAATCAGAAGGTTGGTGGTTCGAATCCCCGCGACGGGGTGAGCTCGGTCCCTGCTCCTGCCAACCTAGCAGTTCGAAAGCACGTCAAAGTGCAAGTAGATAAATAGGTACCGCTCCAGCGGGAAGGTAAATGGCGTTTCCATGCGCTGCTCTGGTTCGCCAGAAGTGGCTTAGTCATGCTGGCCATATGACCCAGAAGCTGTACGCCAGCTCCCTCAGCCTATAGAGCAAGATGAGCACTGCAACCCCGGAGTCGGTCACGACTGGTCCTAATGGTCAGGAGTCCCTTTGAGTCCCTTTACCTTATATCTGACTCCTGCCCGCTGCGCTGGAAGTCTGGTAAGGGTAAACCACCGGTAGGGGGAGCCCTGTTGATGCAAACCAACTCAAGCTCCCCCTTGTGTTCCCATCGGGGTCGTGTCAAGGCCCTAGCCCCCAACCGGGCTTCAGACAAGATCAACACCCCCGGATTCCTTTAACGGAATACCCTTAAGCATGGAGGGGCAGGTGATGGCCACACCTCCCCTCCCCCCCACAAGGTCAAGCAATGCCTAGCCGCCACAAGAGCCGAAAGCCTCCCCGCCTAATATCCTCACATCTCTAACCAATGCCTCAAGCCATCTGCAATATCGGCCAGCCATATATCATTCCCTCAATCGGAAAGATGCACGCCATCATCGCGAAATAAGGCCATCTCGCTGAAAACTATGGAAGGGTGCACGATCACCTGGTCATTCAAAGCAACCACTTTCTGTGAAATGGAAAGATTCAATCACTTCCGGGCATGGTCTGTCACGGCTGGGGAATTGCTGCCACGCCAAACGCTTTTGCAGCAAAACAACAGTTCCTCAGCACCTCTTTCGACAGGATGTAGAGATGCAGGGCTTGCTTCAGTGGGTGGTAGGGTCCGGCATTTGCTGAGCCCCCAAGATGACAAAGGGCCCACATAATAATAATAATAATAATAATAATAATAATAATAATAATAATATAATTTATTTATTTATATTCCAGCCACTCTGTGTGGCTCCCAACAGAATATTTAAAATGTGATAAAACATCAAAAACTTCCCTGAACAGGGCTGCCTTCAGATGTCTTCTAAAAGTCAGACCGTTGTTTATTTCCTTGACATCTAATGGGAGGGCGTCCACAGGGCGGGTGCCACCACCGAGAAGGCCCTCTGCCTGGTTCCATCCTCACTTTTCCTAGAGCCGCCATAAAGACAAGATGAGACAATGTTTGATTCACACATCTCAAACCACAGAAGGTGCCGTGCCCAATGGTCCCCCAAACCATGGAGCTGGTACTAAAATCCAGGATATTCAACTGCTTGGGAATTCCTAGAACCCAGCACACTCCACACAGAGCCGCCTCAACCATGAGGCAAGGTGAGGCAACCGCCTTGGGCAGAAGAATCCACAAGGGCAGCAAATCTTGATGTAGATCTTTATTCCCCCACCCTCATTTTTCCTGATGAAAATCTCCACTCACCCATTCTTCCATGGCGGGGAGAGGGGTGCCATTTTGCCAAAATGTCTTGGGCAAGCCTTGGCTTCAGCTATGTCATTGGGAGGTGCTGAGGGTCTCTTGAGCATGCTATGAATCAAGAGCCCACTAATAATAATAATAATAATAATAATAATAATAATAATAATAATAATTTATTTATACCCTGCCCATCTGGCTGGGTTTCCCCAGCCATTCTGGGCGGCTCCCAACAGAATATTAAAAACACAATAAAACATCAAACATTAAAAACTTCCCTGAACAGGGCTGCCTTCAGATGTCTTCTAAAAGTCAGACAGTTGTTTATTTCCTTGACATCTGATGGGAGGGCCTTCCACAGGGCGGGTGCCACTACTGAGAAGGCCCTCTGCCTGGTTCCCGGTAACCTCACTTCTTGAAGTGAGCAAAACAAATGGTGATCTCTATTGTTTGTATCGCAGCCTGCACTGTGGCACAAGATGCTGTAGTGTGTAACTGGGCCTCTTGACATCATGGGAAATGTAGTTTACATGTTGAAAGACAATATATGCCAGCAGCGGCCAGAGTGGCAGCGAAGTAGTCCCCCCCTCCCCCCCCTCCCTGGCTTGTTCATAAGACCTACAGATGAACAGGATTGGGTCCCTACCCGCCCCCCACCCCCAGTGCACAGGTGTCTTATCTGTAGCCAATTCAAGCTCTGCCATGTTATCTAAATCAATTAATTCAAATAGCAGATTATTTACTGATGCAGCTCCACTCAGAAATAACAGGAAGAATGCTGCCATTGTTAAGCAAGGCAGCATCTGGAAATGTTTGTGCACTAGCACAACATTTTAATACATTTAGATTAATATGTTTATCAATAACTTTGAATTGATAGCAATTAGCTACAGACTGTAGCTTTCTCCCTTTTTTATTTCTGTTTGCCTGTTGACAGGTTTCTGGATGTTGTGCATATGGCAAACACTCAGTAGACCCAGGGTGGATCTGCACACAGGGATAAAAACACATGCTATAAATAAGTCAGAAATTAAATTCTTATAACAAAGGTAAAAAAACCACTATGTAAAACTGTTGCATTCAACACGCAGTTTTATGACTAATGTAGGAGAGGCCCCAGGGCACAGTTGGGCTTTACCATTGCTCTGCTTGAACAGTGTGAGATACAGAAGTTTCTGTTTGTGAGAATATGTGTGAGTGAGAGAGATCATAATGATTGCAGGGTTGTCGGCTGTGCAGAGAGTCTACACACACACACACACACACACACACACACACACACACGGTGTGTATATTTGTTGTGTGTGTGTGTGTGTGTGTGTGTGTGTGTATATATATATATATATATATTTGTTTGAGAACTAAGCTGTTCAAAACCAGGGTATGAGTGTGTGTGTGTGTGTCTATACACACACACAGTC